TCTAACTTACAATTGACCTTCAATTTCATCTTTGCATGTTGTAGTGGACGAAACTTGTACTTCTCAAACAGTTTCTTGGCTTGATCACTCTTGTCAAAAAATTCAAATATATTCACCCATACTCCATAATTTAATTCATCCATGTCACCAAGAAAATCTCCCAAAACCAGAAAATCATAGTTGATGCTACCAATGTTTTTAACATCGCCATGTTTTTCCTCTACTTTTTCAACACTAACAACTGCATCAACTTTAGCAGTATCACAACCTTCAATTAATTTGTCCACCTCACAATTGATTTCAATCAAGTCCATCACTTGATTTTTCTCGTCCAAAAATTCAACAGTCTCGATAAAGTCAACAATTTCTCTATCATCATGATTTTCAACCACATCTTTAATTCGATCAATGCTTTCACTTTCTTTCTCAACTACTTGTGAAATTTCTTCTTCAATCACAATTTCTTCACCTTTATGTGTATCCACAATTGCTTCAATTTCTTCTTTCTTTGCCTTATCAAAAACTTCTTTTTCTTCTTCCTCGTCACAAATTTCTTCTCCACCATGACCATAGGAATTTGTTAAAAATTTCCAAGCCTCCTTCGCTGTCTTTACATGTATGAATTTTTTGGCTACATGTAACTGGACTTGGGTATGGAGATAGTATAATGCCTTATAGTTCAACTGTCTATTCCTCTCTAATTGTTCAACTGCATCCCTTGATAATTTCGTGCCTTCTATAGGTTCCATGAACTCCTTTTGGATAATATTCAAAACTCCAATATTTTTGAAAAAATTCTTCATCATCGATCTCCAAATCTCAAAATTGTTTTTACCATCAAAGATAAATACACCACAACGTGGTAAATAATGCGGATCCATATTTTAATTTCACAAACAAGCTCCAAGCCCCAATTTTGCAAACAAGCCCCAGGATCAAAGCCTAGAGCTTTGATACCACTTGTTGGCACGAAAAATCCCCCTGCACATAGCGGAAACAATTCTAACGCATATAAAAATATACGGAAAGAGGAAGAGAACAAACACTCAATAATTTATTTAACTCAAAATAAATATTAAGTCGTAACATTTTGCTCATAATAACTCACAAATCTCAACTATGAGATTTTCTCTCTCGTCTAATCTCTAGACTCAACTCAACTCTACACATCACTTCTCTTCACCTCTCTTCCACTAACAACCTACTAGACTACTAGTATTTATAGACTCTAAAACTTCCTAAAACAAATATAATTGTAAACCAAAACTTATTTGGAAACTGACTTGAGATTTCCTAATCTAATATGGAAACTAAACAAATAAGATACCAAATAGGATTAGGAAACTAAATACTAAAATAGCTTGGTTTAATTTCCTTCACAAAGGACAAGGACAAAAAATTCGCTGTGGAGACGTGATCTGTGATGCATCTAAATAAAATATTTCAAATATTCTAGTACTTTAATGTGATGTGATTATAGATTATTGTGTACATTATTCTGTATATCACACCTGTGTAAGCTGAATAAATTGAACCATGTTACAGTATCTTTTTTTAAATTAAAATTTAGAATTTTGTGCCAAATTCTTTTACAATAACAAATTTATTTAAACATTTCATAAAACATAATTTAACATGACAAATTTTATTGTGTATGGTAAATTTTTAGTGGCTAGTAACCCTTTTGATATTTTTCAATTTATTGGATAGCAACTTAATATAGTTATATACATAAACATAGCAAGTGTACACACATTTTTTTAATCTTTTTATTTCTTGTTTTTGTGGGGAAATAACTAAAGGATGTGTTTGGATAGGAGACTAATAAACTTTTTTTTTTAATTTTCCTCGTGCCCAATTGCAGGTTAAAAGGAAGAACTCTCCACCACCTACAGTTGAAAAACAGATTTAGTCTTTTTTTTGGTAGCCACTGAATCAAAACTTAGTGAGTCTACTTGACTGGATTTTCCTTTAGTCATACCATTTTGTCATAAAAAGCGACAGATTGTTTCTTCTACCTTAGCTCACTGCACACGCCATGGTCTACTTGATTGCGGGTTTTCCTTTAATTGCACCTTTTTGTCATTAGTGACGATTGCTTCTTCTAAACCTTAGCTCACTGCACAGGCCATTCGTTTGAAAGTTAATTGTTACTGTTTGGTGAAGAGTCAAAGTTGAAATTGGTAATCGCCGAGCAATTCATCTTTTGACTCCTTGTAAATACCTGATGATACTTTTTTCTACTCATCAGCACCCAAAGCTTTTCTAAGATGAGCTTTAGTGACATTTCACTGTAATTTTGAAGTTTGAAAAGAAACGATGTTATCATCTCCTTTTCTTTTCCTATTGTCGCCCATTACTAGCGTCACCTTTGGAATGAATTGCTTCCTAACAATTCGGAATTGAGATCTGCATCTGGTTTGGTTTGCTTGTTAAACCGAACTTAAATTGAACTCGACAAGTCATGCATAACAATCGTGTGATTCTATTGATATATGTTTTTTTTTTTCGGGTTTTGCAGGTTGGTTGAACAATTGTTCAAGTTCTTGTCTCGGTTTTTACTGCTTCACCAGTATGTGGATGTTGCTGCTAAAGAAATTTGCATTTGTCGTTAGAAGAAGAATTTTCTGTTTTATGACTGGCAAGTGATTTGGGTCCATCTATTTTAGTGCTTTGTTTACAATTTAATTGGGTTCAATGGTCCATCCACATCCGAACTTAGAATTTATCCTTCTATTTGCTTTTGCATGAGCAAAGATTAGCGATTTTTAATCATAATTCTGGATTCCTCTATTCCAGCTGTATATAGTGAAGAAATCTATCCCGTTGTAATTGTGTATTTGCACACCAAAACATCATTAGCCCGTCTACTTTTGACATTGTTCTTGAATTACTCGGTATAGAATGTGTATTACCTACTGCATGCAAATGCATCATCGTTAGCAATGACTAAACAGAAAATATGCCTGTAATTACTATTTTCAACTGAAATTAGCATCTAACTTATAATGATCCACATTGGTATTGACTAGAACTAAGTGATCACTAGCCCTCTTATTTTGCATTTGCATTAATCCAATATCATCAAACTTCTTCAAATGGGCTCTCTAGCTACTAAGGATGCATTTGATAAAATTGAAATTTGAAAATTGAAATCTGAAGTCTGAATCTATTAAGTTATCGAATTGTTAAGTATTAAATCAAGTACATTTGAGTGTATATTACATTCATTGATAAGTGAACAACTTATCATTTATTTTTGAGAACAAGTTTTGGTTAGGAAATTCAGTGGTACTTAATTAATTCAAATGTTCAATTTTTAATTAGCAAACGCATCTAAATATATTAAGTTTAAGTACTGAATTGCATTATCAAACATGGGCTAAGTACTAACCTCCCTCAAAAATAATTTAGACTGACTGTTGTGTTGATGTTGCAATTGCAGGAGGTTCAGAAAGGATCCAAGGCCTCACAATTTATGTTTCGTACAAATTTTGCACAAGTTGACCTTTGGTATAAATTAGTCGGATTTCGGTATAAATCAGGTCTAGTTCAATGTAAATTAGGTGTAGTTCCGTGTATCTTAATTTGTTATTATTTGGTGTAAATCAGGTTCATTTTGATAGAAGTTGATTATTATCATTAAGTATAAGTTAAGGACAATTTGGTGTAAATTGAGAATAAATTGTTAATTTACACCAACTTGTGCGAAATGGAACTTGGGAGGCCCCGTTTCAGTTCAGAAGATAATGAAATGCTTGTCAAAGATTTCTCAAGGTGTTAGGCCTATGTTCTAGGAGTTACTTAACCTATTTCCATTCTTCTCGGATGTTGTTTATTGTTAAAAGTAAATAAGCATTATGTCAGTTCAACTCATGAGCTGTGCTGTACCTGAGATAATAGTAGTTGTCTTCAATAAAATTTTTCAAAAATTTAGCGGCTCCATGCCTAGTTCTTTGAGCATCAAGGTGTTTTTGATAAAATTGAAGTCTAAAAACTGACATTTGAAGTCTGAATTCATTACAATATTGAATTATTAATTATTAAATCTAATAGATTTGACTATATATCACATTCAGTAATAAATGAATAGCTTATTACTTAATTCTGGGAGCAAGTTTTGTTTGGAAAATTCAGTGCTACTTAATTAATTCCGATGTTCAATTTTTTGTTATGAAACGCATCTGAACCTATTAAAATTTGAATCCATTAAATTTAAGTGCTGAATTAGGTTATCAAACAAGGCCTAAATTTAGTAGCCGCTGCATTCGGTACCTAAGTTAGATTCTTTGGTGCATAAGAACTAGGCACAGCATTAAACATGCCTAGTTACTGCGCTGCCTAAGAATAGGCATAGTAAATAAGCATCTATTCTTTGCCAAAATTTAGCGGCTTCATGCCTAACTTCTTGGCCAGAATCCAAACATATGGTTTACTGATCTATTCTTCATGCTTGCATGATCTCTTTTATCTCACACATTCTCATCATCATACATCTTAACACTTCTTGTATCCAGTAAATTCCTGATCATTTGCTCAATGCAATTCATGGTCGCTTTGTCTTAGCTTTGCCTGTATCCAAATAAACTTAGATGACCTTTTTGAAGAAATTAAGAAACATATGTTCAGCCATTGAAATGTCAAGCAGTATTGATTGTCTTAATTCAGTTTCTCAAAATTCCGTTTGGATATTTACCTTCTGCAAATTACATTTGCAAGTTTTCCAGTAACATTTCCAACTTAGATTGAATTGTCTTCATTATGTTTTCAATTAGAATGAAAACTACCAATGAACACTCAACAGTATTCCGAACACCCGTCTTGGCACCCCTACGCATCCGTGAGGGCACACACCTAGTATTCATGCAGCAGCTGTTGATAAGACAGGACATATCTGAAGAACAACAGATACTACAAATTGAATTCAGAACATGAGAGTTGAATTGCGTATGATCAAATTAACAATGAAGAACAAATGACGAGTTACATGATTGAACTTATTTTATCACTTTGAAACAAAGGATGATGTTTCACATTTATTTAATAGTAATTTGAATACAATAGGCTTAGATACTAACTAATTCTTCTCCCTGAAGCTCTCAACCGTATCTTTCAAGCTGACCTCCAAAGGGATAAAGTGAACTCCCAAATTCTTTGCCTTGTCATTGGATATTGTACAGTCTGAAATAATAAGGCTGCTGTTATCTGACAACCTGTAGTAGGTTAAGAAAGTTCAGAATTAACAAGTAGATAAAGCATAGGTGAAAAGAAATGCTAATGTGAAATCAAGCTCTGCAAAATCTGTTGCAGACAATAACGAGTATTTTGCCTTTGTACAAAATTTCTCTAATATATGGAGATCATTTAATCTAAAACTTTTGTTATAATCCATTTAAACTTTCTGCAAAGGGCAACGTCGTGGATTAATCGAAGGGATTCATGTATCTAAAGTTTGACTTTCCTTATGAGCTAAAACTAGAAAAAGACAAAATCAAAAACTGGCTCTGCAAAGTTCTGGTAATTTGAAAGACCTATCGAAAAGAATTTTACTTGATCTGAATCCAATTAAATACAACCACCTGAATTCAAACATCTATATTTTGCAGAGAACCATTTTGGTGATCCTAGTCATTAGAATAACCTAATTCTAGAAACGAAGCTGAGAAAGAGCATACTGTGCTACCAAAAAATGCAGAAAATTCTGGACTTGATACACTTTTTTTAAGCTTGAAATTGATACAAAAAGATGTGATAAATCTTGGACCTATATACTGCAACAGCAACAAGCCTGTAAAGGCTTACACCGACGAAATTGACAAGGAAAAAAGGACTTGCTCATTAGGAAACTGGTGAGAAGGGTAAAGTTCATGCAAAATCTTGATGACCTGAGAGGCATGGGCAGATCTCCCAACCAGGCAATATCTTCCACTTGCAGAAGGGACTTCAAAGGCTAGAATATGTGCATAGGCGACATCTCTAACATCAACCCATCTATGCGTTCCATCAGGAAATGACTCAGCCCCTGCATTCGGTGCCTAAGTTAGTAGCATCATTATGTATCTCTTCTAGCGTCTTTTTAATGCACTAAAGTATACGTACAATTAAACACCAATGGTCTCAGTCACTGGGGATAAACAAATGGCAGAGATGAAAATGTTCAGATCTAGAATCAACGGCCTGCCCTTTATTTTTTTTTGGAGAGTCTCTTGGTTCTATTTTAGTGCAATGCAAGGCCCACAACCATGAAGAGGGAGAGTTGAGGAATGAACCACTTGAGACAACCGTCATAGTTAATTATTGGTTGATCATAAGAACTATTACTCCAATGAACTTCTACTAGAACAGTTGGGCTAACAGCATGTCTTAGTTTTAGAAAGACCAATTACTAGGCAAATAACACAAGTACAAACACGACAAGACTGGTTGTCCTTCAACTAAAACAGGGGTTAAACATCGAAAGCTGAAGATACTTGTCCCTAAACCACTCCTCTAGATAGACAAAAATAAGATATTTGCAATTTTTTGTTCCAAAATAATTCAAAAATCAACCACTTCTTGCTTTACAAGTCCTGAAGTCATTGTACAAAGTGGCTATTTGGGTCGAAATATTTATTGTCAATAGGGAAAATAATAAAAGAAATCTGATTAGCAAGTAAATTCTTAAAACACAGGCAATGACTACACGGAATGAATTTTTCCTGTCAGTTCTGCCCGCAATTTTTTTTTTTTTCTCAAGGAAGACAAAATCATAACATATTTCACCCACAAGTGTTTTTCTTCCTGTAATTGCCACGGATAATGTTGAAGCATAGAAGATGCACAACATTAATTTCGAGGAAGAGGTTAGACAGCAAACCTTTTTAACATCACCAGCTGATCAGACCATATACCTTGATATATCAGTTCATATTTCTGCGTATGTCTGTCAGTTATGTATTCGTTCACAATACAAAGATAGCAGAGCCTTACAGTTTTACTTTGAGTAATAAATTCTTTGTTGTTTAATAACAGAGAAGATTTTAGTGCATGATAAAGCCATAAGCCTATGACTAACACAGATAAATAAGTTTAGACGGATGGTGATAACTTAAGTGATCTAATAATTTCTGGAGCATACCATTTACTAGGTTGAGGACCATTTCTACACTCAGATTAATAGATGGCTGCAAGAAAGGACCAATGACAAATCCTGGATTGATTGTTATTATGTTGATGCCTTGCTCCTTTGCGAATTTCCATGCAGCATCCTCTGCCAAGGTTTTTGAAAGTACATACCAAAACTACAAAAAAGAGAGAGAGAGAGTTAAAAGTCTGTATGACAGAAGAAAATAGTTGGATATTAAAAACTCATTTAAGAAGTAATGGTAAATATCTTATGTACAAAACTTGCTTACATCAGTTGGAGCTACTACTGCTGTAGCCACAAAGCACAAGGACAAGCAGTCATACCAGTGATTAAGTAAATTTCTCAATGATCATAAGATTTGTGTAAAATTTTCCTTTTAAGACTCCCTTACGTACTTTGATTTGATTATATGCAAGGACTGATGCAAAGTTGTGTCAACATACTCCTGGAAGTATATGATGTCTACCTCTATGAGTCAACAGCGAAACAACAAGGGAATTTCACTTGTGACTGATCAAGCTGAACCCATGACTTGCTAGCAGAAATTCCCGTCATCTGACTAAGCAAATACCGATCCTATTGCAACTCCTTTTACAATAATGTGGAACTTGATTTTGAGCTTCATTTTAAGAGATGTGTGGTTGACTATTGCATACTCTACTCTCTCTGGTTGATTCAATCAAACTTGCTACTTAAACAAGAAAAGGAAGGAAATTGACCAATCTGGCCAGCTTTTGAACACAGACAAGAAAAAAAATCCTTCTTTTCCTATAAAAGTACCAAGAAGTCATGAAGATCCGATCTTAATTTTCTCCACACCTAAAATAACTCCCCAATTGTTGTCTAATGACAAATTAAAAATACAGAAATCTAGCATTCCATAGGAATGTTTTAACGGAAGACAATAGATGACATACATACCTTCTGCTCTTCACAGAATCGTGGATCAGAAAACCAACTTTCATCAACTACTGCATCCTTCTTCAACTCTCTATTGAATGCAACTGCAGCCATAGAAGATGTTATAACGAATCTCTTGATATATGAAACTTTTGCACACGATCGTAGGACATTAAGTGTTCCCCTGCAGGTTCCAGTAGTTCTGCCTAGAAATGAAACAAAAGAGAAAATGAAGTCATTATTGTATCCTGCACAATCATGCTCCTAATCTGTTTCCAAATTTTAGTATAAGTTCTGTAAACCTACACAATCAGTTAAATAGCTAAAAAAATAACATAGAATTCTTGTTGAATAATGTGCTAAATCAATTAGCTTGATTAATGAGGTAGTTGGAAAGCTTTCTAGATAGTTGCAATATTCTCTAGAATGATGGAAATTAAGAGAGTTGGTGGGATGGTTGGAACATTTCTCTATGTATCTAGAATGATCATTTACAAGCATAAATAGACCTTGTAAACTCCAAACCAATATAAGAGAGTGAAAGTGTTAGGACCAGGCCAGGAAATAGACAAACTCAAGTTAGCACAAATTAGGCGGTATAACCGACCATATAATAGATAGGCGGTAGATACCAGCCATATAATAATTAGGCGGTAAAACCGACCATATAAAGACGGATAACAAAGCAAATAAAAGACACAGAAGATTTACGTGGTTCGGTTAAATTGACCTACGTCCACGGGTGAGGGAGGAGCAATATTTCTACTATGAAGAAGAAATACAAAAGCCGTAGGAAAGTGGTTCCTAGGCCAATAGGCACTTACAAAAGAGTTTAGAAAATATTCCTAAACTCAAAACAAGAGAGCCAAAAATATTTAACTGAATGGGCTAGATGACTCAAGAAGCTAATAGCCCATATAACTCTCTTGAGTGGTGCAAATGTCTTCACCACCAAGGCCATATATTTATAGGCCCTGATGAGCCGTCTTCCTCTGGCTTTGTCCGATGTGGGACAAACGCCACATTCAACAAATCTCCACCTTGGCGTGGTCCCAACATCGACAAATATTCTCCACCTTCGCTACATAAGCCCCAATGGGCCGAAATCACGAACAATGAACACCAACCAAATCCAAGCACTGCTTGAATTTGTAAAGTGGAAGAGGTTTTGTAAACATATCGGCTGGATTGTCCTTAGTATTGATTTTCTGAATAAGGACCTTTCCTTCAGCAATGATATCCCGAATGAAATGATATTTCACATCAATATGTTTCGTCCTCTCATGATACATCTGATCTTTAGTCAAGTGTATGGCACTTTGACTATCACAGTGAATATCAATAACACCTTGATATAGACTTAGCTCGCTAAATAAACTCTTCAACCACAAGGCTTCTTTGATTGCCTCGGTCACAGCCATATATTCTGCTTCTGTAGTAGACAAAGCTACGACAGGTTGTAGAGTAGCTTTCCAACTAATAGCACAACCGCCAATGCAAAATACATAGCCTGAAAGCGATCTTCTCCTGTCAAGATCTCCAGCATAGTCTGAGTCTACAAAACCAACCAAAGTATTATTATTTCTTCCAAACTCCAAACATACATTTGAAGTATCTCGCAAGTATCTGAGAATCCACTTCACAGCCTGCCAATGTGTTTTACCAGGGCAAGACATATATCTGCTAACAATACTGACTGCTTGTGCAATATCTGGACGAGTACAAACCATTGCATACATAATACTGCCGACTGCACTGGAATAAGGAACCCGTGCCATATAATCTTCCTCTTCATCTGATTTTGGTGATTGAGCAGCAAATAGCCGAAAATGGCTAGCAAGAGGAGTAGATACTGATTTAGCATCTTTCATGCCAAAACGCTCCAAGACTTTTTCAAGGTAATTTTTCTGGGTCAAAAACAACTTCCCTACTCCTCGATCTCGATTAATAACCATGCCAAGAATTTTCTTAGCTGCTCCCAAATCTTTCATTTCAAATTCACTATTTAACTGCAGTTTCAAGGTGTGAATTTCTGACAAATTCTTGGCAGCAATGAGCATGTCATCAACATATAACAATAAGTAAATGAAAGAACCATCATTTAACTTCCGGAAGTAAACACAGCTATCATACATGCTCCTCAAATAACCATGACCTAACATAAAGGAATCAAACCTTTTATACCATTGTCTTGGAGACTGCTTCAATCCATATAAGGATTTCTTCAACAAGCAAACATGGTCTTCCTTACCTTCAATTTCAAAACCCTGGGGTTGTTTCATATAAATTTGTTCTTCAAGTTCGCCATGCAAGAAAGCTGTCTTAACATCAAGCTGCTCTAACTCTAAATCATACATGGCAACTAAAGCAAGCAAAACACGAATAGAGCTATGTTTAACAACAGGTGAGAATATATCATTAAAATCAACACCTTGTACCTGACTATAGCCCTTTGCAACTAATCGTGCTTTATATCTTGCATCTTCAACCCCTGGAATACCTTCCTTTTTCTTGAAGACCCACTTGCAACCAACAATTTTCTTAACTGACGGCGGCTTTACAAGAACCCAAGTTTCATTTTGATGAAGAGATTCAATTTCTTCATTCATCGCAATCAACCACTTTGCAGAATCATCACAAGAAACTGCTTCTGAATAGGTGGAAGGCTCACCAACTGCATCAGTTTCTTCTGCAACAGATAAAGCATATGCAACTAAATTTGCATATCTTTGTGGTGGTCGAATATCTCTTCTTTGTCTATCTCTGGCTATGGAATACTCCTCTTCTTCTGAACTATCTTCAACAGTAGATTCAGGTGTATCTACTGGCACTTGCTGAATAGAAGATTTTGATTGAGAAGGACCAGAACGGCCAATATCAAGCTCCACCTGCTTCTGTGTACTATCAGTAGTACAAGGACTAGAAGACTCCTTCTTGGAAGATAACATAGACAATTCATCAAAAGTAACATCTCTACTGATTACAAATTTTGGGGATTTGGGATCAGGATACCATAATCTGTATCCTTTCACCCCAGAAGCATATCCAAGAAAAATGCACTTTTTAGCCCTAGGCTCCAATTTTCCATCATTCACGTGCATATATGCTGGACACCCAAAAACTTTTAAATTGGAGTAATCAGCAGGAGTACCTGACCAAACTTCCTCAGGAGTTTTGAAATCAAAAGATGCAGAAGGAGAACGGTTGACAATATAACAGGCCATATTGATCGTCTTTGCCCAAAAGTCATTTGTCAACCCTGCATTGGAGATCATACATCTTGCTCTCTCCAAAAGTGTTCTGTTCATACGTTCAGCCACACCATTTTGTTGAGGCGTCATCCTGACGGTGTGATGCCGAATAATTCCTTCATTTTTGCAAAATTCATTAAATTCACCTCCACAAAATTCCATGCCATTATCTGTTCTCAACCGCTTAACATGTTTTCCTGCTTGTTTCTCAATCAAAACTTTCCATTGCTTGAAAGTTAGGAAAACATTATTTTTATGCTTAAGAAAATAGACCCAAACTTTCCTTGAATAGTCATCAATGAAAGTCAACATGTACCTGACACCACCTTTAGAAGGAGCACGAGAAGGACCCCATAGATCTGAATGAATGTAATCAAGAGTACCTTTTCTCTTGTGAATTGCTGGTGAACTGAAGCTGACTCTTTTCTGCTTCCCAAAAATACAATGTTCACAGAATTCCAATGGTCCGGTACTTTGTCCACACAGAAGTCCTCTTTTGCTCAGTATGCCCAAGCCTTTTTCGCTCATATGCCCCAAACGCATATGCCATAATTTGGTGATGTCTGTATCTGACAAAGATGATGTTGAAACAGCAGCAGTACCTGTAATAGTAGATCCCTGCAAAATATATAGAGTACCAGATCTGTGTGCCTTCATAACAACAAGAGCTCCTCGAGTGATTTTGAGAACTCCGTCTCCACCTGAATACCTGCACCCGATAGATTCAAGAGTGCCCAAAGAGATGAGATTTTTCTTCAAATCTGGAACATGTCTAACATTTGTGAGCGTTCTCACAATACCATCGTACATTTTAATCCGGATTGTGCCTTTGCCAACAACTTTACAAACAGCGTTGTTGCCCATTAAGACAACTCCACCTTCAGTTGATTCATATGTTGAAAACCAGTCCCTATTGGGACACATATGATATGAACAACCCGAATCTAAAATCCACTCATTGTTAGACCTAAAATTATTTTCCGTTGCACAGAAAATAGTTCCATCATTCTCATCAACGGCAATACTAGCCTCGGTGGTTTCACTCCTTTTCTCCTTTTGCTTTTCTTTATTTTTCAATTTAAAGCAATCAGAGATAATATGGCCCTTCTTTTTACAATAGTTGCACACCACATTTTTATGTCTGGACTTGGATCTACTTCTATTTTTTGTGTTTCTCCTTTCAGATCTACCCCGAACAAACAAGCCATCAGCTTGACTCCCACTAGTTTCCCCAGTAATATCCCTATCTATCTGCTCTTTAGATTTTAATGCAGATTTAATTTCTCGATACGAAATTGTTTCCTTTCCATATATCATAGTATCACGGAAATGCTTAAAGGATTGGGGAAGGGAACACAAACGTAATAGGGCTTGATCTTCATCATCAATTTTCGAATCTATATTCTCCAAATCCATAATAATGGAATCAAATTTATCAAGATGGGAGAGTATAGATGTACCTTCAGACATCCGAAGCATGTACAAACTCTGCTTCAAATATAGCCGATTCTCGACTGTTTTCTTCATATACAAGGCTTTCAATTTATCCCACATAGCCTTGGCCGAAGTCTCCGTTGCTACCTCACGTAATACCTCATCGGAGAGATTTAGGATAATACTGGATCTTGCCTTCTTATCCATCTCAGCAAAATTTGCATCTGTCACATCTTCTGGTTTTTTCTCAATTCCTTGAATTGCCAAATCAACTCCGTCTTGAACAAGAATGGCCTCCATCTTGAGCTGCCACATGCCGAAGTTGACATTCCTGTCGAATTTCTCGACAACCGTCTTTGTTATCGTCATTGTTGCCACAAAATTTGTAACCTGAAGTTTGTCTCAAAAAACTGGCCAAACAAATATGCAAGTCTCGTGAGCGGGCCCCACAGGGTGAGCGAGCCCCACGAGATAAGCGGGCCCCAC